ACGAACGCACATTCCTTTATGGCGAAAATTTGTTTCCGAGTAAAAAATTTGGAAAGAACATATTTAAATGCGGCCGTTCTTTCTAGAGAAATGCTTTATGTTAAAAAAAATTCTTTTTTATTACGTATGCAGACGTTTATTTGTGCCTAAAACGTTATGGCACTATTTACATTGTTGCATGGAAAAGAAACGGAAAAAGATTGCTTCAACGTTTCCGGTACATTAATAGTTTTTTTTTCCTTTTTTAACAGCATCGGTCGCATTTCATGAGTTCGCTGTGTAGTATAATCAAAATTTTTTCTAATCAACTTTGATGTCCCTTTTGCTTCACACGCAGTCGTACTATACATCGAAGATGATCAATATCTGACGATTACTCTGATTCTCTCACTCAGCCTTCTGGTTGTAAGAAATACATTTCTGAATTCTTAAAGAACTCGCTATTAATAGCAGACTGCTGAGATCTTTCTGAAAAATCTTGAGGGTTCTGAAGTATTATTACTACACTACTGTTTTTGTGCCCTTATCAGTGTCAAGATTTTAGAACCTTCTCTAAATTTGAAAGAATTTCCTCGCCTACGATGTGAAATATAAATATACTATTATTGTAAGTCTAGTTGTTGATTGATAAAATTTTAGTACACCTAAAGAATAGTATTTATATATCTTTCGAAGGATAGATTTATGCATACAAACTAAATTTTTGAATTTTTGCGATGCGATTAAGACCCTAAGATGAACACTTTCGTGTGTCGTAGTTTATCGCGGTTTTGATCGAAAAAACTTTCTGACAGTGAATTTTCAATTTTACTCCGTAGGACCGTAGATGTGTAGGTAAAACTTTTGAAAAATATACACTTACAAAATCTGGGTTAAATATATATTGTATGGTATATATATCAGTCAACAGAAGCTAAACGAGATCTACCCAGTACACCTTCTCAGGTAAATCTTATTTAGAAAAGGTCGAATTCGTGGTCCACTTCATCTACAGAATAAATGTCTATGATATTTTCATATAAAAAAAGCAGCTCATTCATACTGAGTCGGTCTTTAATCGAAATTATCAAAACTCTTCGTAACTGCGTGATTTATACAGTACATATCTTATAGTTCTCTTCAGTTGAATCATTGACACTATTTGGAACTCTTATAAGTATCATTTTTCGAGCAACTTTCAAAAGAAACGCCTAGTCCTTCATCGATCTTCCGAAGTGGTGATACTCCATTTATTTGATTACTAAAATAAACGAGATAAAAAATTTTATTTTATGATTACTCATGAAAAGAGCATTCATCATAGTGTTTCATATGTTTAGAATAGTATTTGTGTAATCGATGTCTCTGTGAGTAATAAGATGGAATTGTACTAATAGACATACCTTTTTGCGATGTATATTTCGCTCAAATCGTATCGAAAGACCTGACGTACCCCGGCAAACAACACGATCATGATATTAAGCTCTTACTACTCCTTCTTATTTCTTGACTTACAACTATCACAACGTACAAAATACTAATTTTTTTGTGTAAGCTTCATAAACTACTGTCTTTGCACACATTACACTCAGGAATAGCATTCAACCCACCACCTTCTACAAAAGATTTTCTAAACGAAGCAGAAAAACATCTCTTTTGGAAAAATAAAGAAAAAATAACCTTAGGTTTGAGTTCTTTGAAATCAGTTAGCCTTCGCCCAACTCTTAGTATACGTATTAATAAGCCATGTATGATTAATAGTTAATTAATATAAACTAACCTCAGATTCGAACTCGTCGACCTCCATTGCTCTACTGGTAGTGGATCCTGATGAGTATGGATATATTTGATTCATTCCCGAAATACTGATATCTGATTAGATACGATAGACAGGCAAATTTTAAGCTGTTCGATCCTTTCTTTCAGGAAAGGGAATAAACAGAAAGACATATTAGGCAGCGACAGCAATATATCGTTTATACCCATGTAAACACGAAGCGGAAGGTAAGCGCGTCTAAACGCAACTAAAACTGATATCCAACACGGCTGGATACATTTTTGTGAAACATAGTAGCTCCCGGTTGCGCTGAAAAAGATTATTGGTAAGCGTTCAAATGCACCTGAAAACATTTGAAATGTGTTCTATAGTGCAAGTTATGCATAAAGTGCGTTTGTTTTAGTAGTCTATACTGATTTGTTTCCACAAATTACCGATAGTTTGTTCTTTTGGGTATAAGCAGGGACAGTTTTATTCGAGTAATGACATTCAACTGTAAGATACTCTTTCAGCATGAGTGTAATCAGATGGAAATCATTCTTTACACATGCTTACAAATAGTCTCAATGAACAGTTTATACTTGATCTTGAAATAAAACCTCTTAAGCCAGTTGATAAATATTGCTTTTATGACTTATTCGAACTTCACTTGACGTCTATCGTTGTAAAGTATATCTTAAAGATGAATAGAGAAAGAAAAAGAAATACAACTTCATTTGAAGTCGTATGAGACTATTGGAGAGAAGTACGACGATGAGTTTTATTTTCTTCGAAGTTATAAAAAATGGATATTGTTAGTTTCACGTGTATAAGTTCAGATGTACAGTTAAGCATATATCCTTTTCAATAAGGATGAGATTTGTGCTCAAACTACTTATGAGCAGAACGATCTTGAATAGAACCGTTTTCTATTAACTCTATTTTTTTGTGGTGCGTGTAAGGGTTCGAGAGACAACCATATTAAATGAGCGACTAATGCCAGAAGGAAGGATTATGCAATATTTTTTTTACCATTGATGATCCTTGATGAGAACGATCTGAAGTCAATTTTCGCGCGTAATACTCACGAAAAAATTTTGAAATAGATACCGTTGATCGCCGCGGTTTTTTCATAATGGCTGCGGTTATATCGTTGAAGGTCGCTGTGTCGAAAAGAAACCGCGGTTAACAGCGGTGTGGTGCAGCGCAACATAAATATATTGCGGTATGTTGAAAACAAACCGCGACGTGATCACTGTTCAAGACCGCGGTTTCGAAAATGCGCAGTGAAATGTAGATTAGCAGCGGTATTTGAGAGGCGCCATCTGCCACAAGTTTATATTCTGCGATCTCCAAATTTTCCCTAAGGATATCGGTGTCCAGAATACTTTAGTTCTTGTTTTTAATTAGACTTTTCATCTATTTTTTGTTATGAGAATGTATCGCAACAACTTCGATACTTTAAATCACGGTACGATAAAGAGGAATTCAAACTCAAATCGATTTATCTCTCTTTTACTTGATAAACGGCATGATTTATTAGAAAAGTTAACGAGAGAATATAAACGCACTTGTTTTTTATCAACCTATAATAAACTCAGCATCCTCTCTATTATTATCTGTCTTGAAATGTACCTTGAAGATATTCAAACAATGAGTACTTTTTTACAGATAAGCTCATCCATGTAGATAATATTCATCGTTAGAGGTATATAAAGATTTAATAAACGTCAATTTGCTCTCATACATGTATTTCATTAAAAATTTAGTTCTAAAATAGTTTAAAATATTGATAAGATTTCAGTAAAAGACAGTTATTTATCACAATCCAATGATATCGTTGAAACTCAAACGTAGATTCACTGCAAAAAAATCCGTAGGGAATAATAAACCCTCCAAAAGGATTTATTAAACTGATTAATTCGTTGAGATACATTTTGTCTGTTTATTAGCATCATAAATCTTTCGATATAACCTAAACGTTTATCAGATTGCAACGTATAAAATACTTCTTTTGAGTAGATCACAAGAGACAGTATATCAAAAGATTTATGATGCTAATAAACGAAAAAAACGTATCTTAAAGAGTTGATCAGTTTGATAAATCATTTTGAAGAGTTTATTATTCACCACAGATTTTTCAGTGCTGAACAGATCTTTCTTGACGGATACATTTGAGATACGTGTACTAAATACTATATGTGTTGTTTTCTCAAAATATCGATTTACAGATATAGCAGTTATGATCTCTCAACTCGTTAGGCCATTTAACAATGCGCAGTATCACGATCAATCAGCTACACGATTGTAGTAAACGAATGTTTTTCTTCTAAGTGTAACTTCATCAAGATAGATTATTCATTTAAACATAACTAAGCATCAATATAGATGATAAATAGGAGTCTTTCAGCTACATAGTGCATAGTTTATCGTCATTTGAGCATCTAGAGAAGTTAGAAAAATTGTGAAATCCGTAGAAGTCTTTAGTATTCGTCAGACTCATATAAACCCACTAGTAAATGAAACGTATCGATCGAAATCAGAAAGTTTCTCGATACAGATAAGAAAGACTATATCACTCAATCTTAGTATGAACATCACCAGATGTTTCAATGGAATTAGTGGACTACAATCATAAGGTAAGCTGTTCGAATCTAATTAAAAGAATAAGAATAAAAAATAGGAAGATCTAATGAGCTGACCGAGGCGTGAAATGACCATGTGAAGATAGTAGATGATAATGAGATAGATGGCAGAGATGATATACCACCATGATGGTGAATTACTTTTTTTTCGAAAAACCATTAATACCCGCGGTTTCGGCCGGTGTGAGAAAACCTAATAAAAGGTCTGACTTTCGCGGTTCAATTAAACCGCTGACACCAACGCCCTCTCGCACCGTGATCTACCGCGGTTTTGATCGAAAAAGATTTTCGTGGGTAGTTCAACATCTTTATAAATAGTGTAGAGTAGAATCGTTTTATTTTTTCTGTATGGCTTATGAGTAAACAAATGAAACTTTAAAAGGTTCTTAATCTATGCTAAAACCTAAACTAGTTCGGCATAACACGGTTTTGTTTCACAGACTACCACATAAAGAAAAGTATTAGGCACTTGATGCAGAGCGCTCCATCCTACGTCATCATTAGCGAAATCGTTGGAATATTTATATCGCATATAGTTCTTGTCATTTCAGACCACACTACCCCGAAAGTGATCAATAATAATATTTTTACACTTGTTCCCAAACGAAATAAGATGCATAATGATTTTCTACAGTCGATTCCATCTGGTCTCAAAATTAAGACTTGTCGTCGGCCTATTTCTATGCAGTATTCTTATAAATTTCTATCAGTTTATATATCATTCACCTAGCTGTTCTAATTTATGCCCATATAAATCAATTCTCAGCCAGAATCAGCTAGCATTTGACAAGTTCCATATTGTACCGCACTATGCTGATTTTATCTGTCCGCAAAACTTTCGAAATCTGGCTGATTGGGTTTATGGTTGGCCTGAAGGGGTATTCGAGGAAGAGCTAGACATTACTACTGACAAAGGGTATCGTATTGGTTCGTGTTTGGTATCAGGTAGTATAATTTATGTCAAATCTGATTATTTGGAGAAATTCTTCAGCAAAGTCTACCCGTATTTGAACAGTCGATTTGTACTTATCACAGGACAAAGTGATGTATCTCCGCCTGATCGATATCTAGCCTACCTAGACATGCATGATTCAAAAATTATTCATTGGTTTGGTCAGAACGTCGAAACATATGCGTCAGAAAATGGCAAATTTACACCAATTCCTATCGGTAATATAAATGCACCACAGAACAGGAATCTGTCTTACTTTCAGAATAAAACATATGGAGATACACGAGCAGAAAGGTGACGCATTCTTGTAAAACAGATCTGAATGAGATCATTATAGACCATATTTAGCAATCTACGTATTCCTGGAAAAGTTATGTAATAAGGATGAATGAGAACGTGTGGTTCCGCATACTGGAAGAGTCATAGCATATAACTGGTTGTATTAAGTCGTATAATTGATGAATAAAGAGCGTCAGTAGCGTTTTGTTTTAGTTCAGAATAAGTAATCAATAAATGTATTCGTAACTACATAGTAACCTATAATGTTTATTGTATTGTAGGGATCAACTGTTATGAGATGGGCAGAGCTCTTCAACGTGTTCGTCGGCAGAAGTCCACTTCTGCCTTGTTATTCTTGTCGAATAGCACAGATCCGAACGAATACTACTCGTCTTCTCTTTTTTTCTCACAACAAAGTGCAACTCAACATATCACAACTCAACTGTTGCTAGTAAATTTTCAACGGCAGACCGATCCAACTGGAACTCGTACACATGTTTGGAAAACTTTTTGCGACCGCAATACTACATCTAATTTTGTTAAATGTATCGATAAACCACAAGGAGTTGATAGTTCTGCATTACCGACTATATACGCTCGGAATCGACAATATCCATTCTGGCTTTCTCCTCGTGGTAACGGAATAGACTGTCATCGCACCTGGGAAGCACTTTATTTAGATGTTATTCCAATCGTATGGAATTCCACATTGAATTCTCTGTATACTGATTTACCTATCATAGTTGTCAACGACCATAGTGAGATTACCGAACATTTCCTCCTTACCAAGTTAACAGAAATACTTGTTAAAAAAAGAAGCAAGCGACCTGTTTATCGATACGAAAAGCTGGCATTTGGCTATTGGCGACGTCTCATCTTAAGTAAATCTAGATATTCAATAACAACAATAAAACGAGAAAATCAATGTTGGCGTGCTAAAAGTACTAGCAAAAGACACGACTAAAAGCTCATTTATTAATCACAGTTCGATATTGGGCAAATTGCTTCTTATAGTATGTGTTCGATTTGTGAGACCCTTAGAAAAATACGTTTTTTTATATAAAACCATCTTATAAAAAATGATTATCAACTATTGGTGTATAGAACTCAGATAATTCTAAATACTGAGAAAGGATTGTTGCCGAATTCATTGATCTTGCATGAGTGATCACTTATTCCCTTTTCTGAAAGAAAGGGTTATAGCGACATAAATACGGTCGTGAAAATGCATAAAGATTGTTTGTTTACATAATCCAATCAGATTGGAGCATATTATAAATCAATGGAATTTATCTATAGTCATCAAAGATTGATGAGGTAACCGAGGTCGAGGATCTCGAATCCGATGTTAGTTTTTCGAGACTTCAAACAGCTAATTAGTTAATTACCAATTAGGCAATGAAAAAGTTTTTGGTTGTTGAGTAAGAGTCGGCCGAAGGGTAATCGGAGTCGAAGATATCGAGTCTAGTGTTAGTTTTTCTGTAGAAAAAGTACGAGTTTTTGCAAGGAAGACTTTTTGTAGGCGATAGTGTTTGAAGCAGCAATATGTAGAACAAAACGAAATAGCTGATTAACGTCCGTCTGCTGGATACTCATACTCATCAGCATATTGATAACATTACAATTATATAAACAGCTATATTACACAAACATTAGCTGATGCTAAGCACTCAAAATAATACTTCCTCTAACAAATGTTGTTTTGGACAGTCACAATGGCACAACGTTGGTGATTCTTTAACAGGGAATGAAAGGAAATGGTTTGATTGAATTTGAAGAGGATTTTAAGCTAAATGAAAGTTCGACATGCAACGGCTAGCCGCGAGCGGTCGACCGGAGGCAGACCGACGAGCGACCAGGCGTTTGTTTGAGTGGATTAGAAGAGATAAAATAAGTGTAAGTAAATTTATTTTTGATTGTAAATAGTGGGAAGAGAGTCGATTAGTAAATCCTTCGAAACAGTGTTCCTTTTGCTTACATCTTTGGACAAATGAATTGAAAGCAGTTTGACATGAATAAAGTAGAAAAGGATTAAAAGAAAAGAATGTGCATAAAAGTGGCTTTAATTCGAAGCAGATTAGAGTGAGATATACGTTAGAGTTTTTATCTGAGTCTTGTAATTCTTTCAGAAAAGGGTCAGCGAATCCAACAGATGAGCGCTACTTGTTCCAATGGCTACCAACATCTACCCTCGGGGTCACTTTCAAACGATGTTTTGTTAAGTTCTAGACATTTTCCAAAAAAAAATTGCCTTTTGACACTGACGCAGACAAATAAATAACCACACAAGCTATTTTTTTATATGATCCCCTTTCAACCGAGGAAATCAAATAGATTGATTATAGAAGCTTCTCTCTATTGCAATCTGTTCATACCCAATACATGATGTCGTCATATTTCCTTAACTGTTCAATCTAAACAAAATGATACATGACCCTTAACACATTGTAAGTCATTGAATTTTTTACCCATGTGCGTAACTCTCAAATGTCATCATTCAATTCCTTCGGCTGTAAGGACGGTCCTATGGAACAAGATAGTTTGTCTCCTTGCTTGTTTGTATCTGGGTCCAAGGTCAAAGGTAAAAAAAGCATCTTCTTCTTAAAATCATCCAGCACATTGCAAATTCCTAGTATGGTGAGGCTAGAGCGAGTGGACAGCTGAAACCATGGGTGGATGTCTGAGTATGGGTGAATGAAATTGGTGATGGGTGGTTCGGCCGCCTGAGTTGATGATTGTAGTTGGTGTTGTTGTGGGACTCGGACGCAGTTGAAGTGGCTCGGTTGTTCCAACTTGGATTCAACTGTAACTGATCTTAGGAGTAATAAAAAAACGACAAATAATCATATGTATTACCGTAGCTCAATGCAGTGAACGCCAAACATAGAGATATCAAAAGATGCATTAGCTAAATTCAGATTTTATCAAATGTAATCCTAATCTATTGAGTTAAACCTGCTAAAATCTATAGGAAATTTGCAAAGACGAATAAATAAAGATTCTGCCAATAATTGATGATTATTATTGGCGTTCGCAGTAAATTTAAATTAATGTTAAAAACAAGTAACGCTCATCGTGCCGACTCACTTAACCAATCAATTTGTCTCACGGCTAGGACTCGAAAAAAACATCTGTCCTCCAAAGTCGAGGGTTAGGTGAGTCGGCACGGCGAGCGTTACTTGTTTGATTATTCCAAAAAATCTTTTGTAGGCACTACAAATTCTGTTGTACGTTTGGATAGAGCAAGAAATTACATTTTGCACAAATATTCGTATGTATTTCTGATCGATTCAAGATTTTTATGAGGTACTCAGGTATTTTCTTTTTATTTGATTTAAAACATATTTATATGAATATGTGAACATATTATGAATGATGAATAGAGAAAATTTTTAAAAATGGATATAGAGATGTCTATCTCGAGGATGCGAATGTTAGTAAGTGAAAGACATTCTTCGCATACACTCTTGTTTGTCACTAGTTAAGTTTCGTAATAAAAAATTGGATATTGTCAGCGATACAATAGTTTTCTTCGTTATATGTACTAGTATCGTCATAGGTCAAATTTCTGATGAATCCAACTTTTAACTGAACTTTATGCATCTCACGATTAAATTGATTTGATAGTTTCAAACGTTCGATTTGCATTTTACTCTTGGTTTCTAAATTGCAGAACAGACAAGTGCTAGAGGACTGAAAAAGAAATCAAGTTTCGTGTTATGACTTTACCTCGATATACAGGTTCATATTTTAAACCATTCATATCGAAGAAAGTGAGCTGCATATAGCCGTATTGGTTGCCTGAACATTGGTAATCGATGGATACATTGTAGCGAGCCATACCAGCTGTGATCAATAGAATGAACTCATCAAAAGAGATATTCTGAGCCATCGACACCGCCAGTTTTAAACTATATGATGGCGTCACTCGAAAATGGTATTTCCCATAGCCTGTTGTAGAATTCTGGCTGTTGTACGCAATGGAACTTAGCCTTCCAGGAACTGAGACAGTCCAACCAGTCGGATGTGTATTGTTAGTTAGCGAATCCTGAAAATAGAGTTTTATGAGTCGCGAAAAATTATGACTCACATGATCTATTCAGAAAACAAGATCAACGAAAATAAAAGATGATGATAGCTAATTCATGAGATACATAATAGATTTTTGAATCATATAGTACTCAAAACAATCGACTTCAAGAAAAAATAGAAAATCGTATGCTTACGTTCTGCTCGGCATCACCATTAACCACTAAATTTTTCCTTACAATCGGTCCCCATGTTCCATTAGGCAGAATAGAATTATGCAGTTTCATTCTTTTCAATAGTTGATCTGATATAATTGCTCCTGTCAAGTTCGTACCTATAAAATCCATATATTGCGTAATCCATCTGACGCCAGTAAAATTACACTCGACTAGTGATGCTCCGACAAAATCCATCTCAAAAAATGTCCCTTGACTAAAATCTGCTTGGTTCAATGCTGCAAATCTGAAAGATGTTCGAAAGAATCGTGTTCTAGTGAAATCTATCTTGTACATGATGGAATAAGAAAAGTTTGAACGGTCGATGAAACAATTGATAAATGATGCCTTCGATAAATAAACATGATGTAAGTAGAGGTAATTAAACGAACAAGTAGCATCCACTGTTCCTCGGAAATTGACTCCATTGAAGTCAGCTTCATTGACTTTCAATAAGGATGAAATTGCCTTTTCTGGTGAATGATAAATCAGTTCACTATCATAAAGAAACAAGAGTAAATGTTTTTTCCGTTCTATGTCGAGTTGTCGAAGGCTAGCTAATGTTTTGGCGCGGATTTTCATCAACGTATCTTTGCTATTATTCATTGTGAATAGTTCTGAGACATCGTCAAGATAGGTTTCGTACACTTTTTCTTTGTGTAAATTTTCTGCGTGGAGATCAGATTGTTTTCTCGAGAGAAGGGCATCCTGTTTGTCTTGTTCACGTTGTGCAGAAGAAAATTTTTGCTGTTGAATTGTTGTAATCACAGTGAAAAGACCAATAGTGAATGGAATCAATGCAGAGAAGAATAATTTAATTAAACTTAAGCGATTTAATTTTCTTGTCATCTGAATATTGTTACTTATAGAGATTTTCATATGAGTACTATTGTTCACTAAGATAATATCATCAGATTTTCTCTCTCTTTATCATGTAATTTATTACAATGAAATATCTGACACTTTATCACTTTGACACGTATATAGAAGAAAAAAGTGGAAAAAGTATTTAAATCACGTTTCTTATTCTTCAAATAAAATCGTATAGTGTGAATCGTTCATTTTTAGACGCGTGAATTGAATCATATAAACTGTCGATGACAAATATCATTATTTTTTAATCAGAACAGAAAAATCTCCAATGACACGTTTTAAAAACATTGATTTATATGTCTGTTCTTTTAATATAAAAGGTATCTCATTAAAGATACGAAACTTTTACATCATCTCTGCGAAAGCTTTAAGACGTTTTTGGAGCTATGAGTAATTTCGTACAGTTTGTGCAAAACCATTATATGGTACACGGTTGCCAAAAATGTTTTTCCAGGGGGGTACAGCCCTAGCGACTAGTGATAGAAGCAATGAATTTTATACCAAAAGAAAGCCCGTCAAAAACGGGATCCAGGGGTATATTTTAATGTTTTATAAGAGAGGGCTGACTAGTTACGATTGTACCGACTCTGCAATAGAATGTAATACAACCGTAAAGAAAATGTATATTATCGTAAAATTGGTAGCGAATTTATCAGACAATTATTCGTTATTGTACCAGGTTCATAAAAAATAAACATTGGTTCGATACATCCATCATTCTTTAATCATTTTTACTCAGGAATTTATCTTCGAAAACAACATCTTATCAGTAGTAAATTCTTCAAGTTGTCTGAAGGTCCACAGTTCTATAGCTTGCCCCTCTCTCATAGGACATTGAAATATACCCTTAGATCCCGTGTCTGACGAGCTTTCTTTTGGTATAAAATCTATTGTTTCTATCACTAGTCGTTAGGCTTGTACCCCCTGGAAAAACATTTTTGGCAACCGTGTACTTGAGGCTATTAGTAGTTTCGCACTTTGTATACCAAACCATAAGTTAGCCAACGCGACAGTCAATGCATTCGTAAAAAGTCCACGAAACCACTATACCAATTACGAAACGTAAGGTGGATTCGTCTTTGACATACAAAACTTCCCACTCCCTCACCCACACCCACCCTCAACATATTTCTACACGTTTACAATCAACAGATGTACCATCTATTCATGCTGTTATACCTGATATTGAAAGTTTAAAAGCAAGTTTGGAATGAATGGCAAACGATTCGAAATTATCCAGTGAACGAGGTTAGATTGTATTTTATTTTCGACTAGTATCCGTTGATGTACTGTGATCATTTTTACAACAAATATATTGTTTTTCCGACAACGTGCACAAGTATTGCTGGAAGTTATGATTGACTGTCATCCTATTCATCTAATGGCTTTATTTTTAAATCCAAGAACTAGAAAAATGAAGCAATGTACAGATGATCAACGAAATTCATGTCTAGAATATATAAAACAAGAAATGATTATGTTTGATGCATTTGATAATGATAATGAAAAACAATTGGAAAACAGCAATTTCAGCAATACATTGAAAAAGAGACGAGGCAATGAAAGAATTCAAACTGGTTGCATTATGGAGAAATATTATGATGAAGAAGATGAACCAATTGATTCACCGATTACAACAACTGCTATGCGTCAAATAGAGATTGGCAATTATTTGAAGTTTGGAATGGATAAGCAGATTGAATCATGTTCTTCAGTTTCTTCTTCAAACGAGGAAGAGTACAACTCATTGAACTTTTGGAAGCATAATTTTAGATTATATCCACGTTTATCAAAAATGGCTAAACGTGTTTTTTCTGTACTGGCAACTAGTACCGCAGTAGAACGAGAGTTTTCATTGGCAGGAAATATTGTAACTAAAAAACGGTCATGATTATCTCCTGAAACGGTAAATGATATCCTTTTTCAAAATTCATTTGAAAGATATAAAGACAAAAATGCTCAGAGCAGATAAATAGGATCGAGAAAAATATTATTCATTCTTTTGATAAAATTTGTTAAAATTTCTTTCTTTTTGGTTTGTATTTATATATGTAATGGATTAGTTTTTGTTACCATTTTTGTCAGATAGATATTTATATAAAGTTGGACGTTTAAAGTAAAAGTAAGGTAAAATAAAATATTATCAGTATTAATTATGGAGATTCACACATGCGTATGCACGTATATGAATGTCATAGAAAATAAATGCTCTGAAACAAGACAATGGAGTGCGTATGAAGGTTAAATAGCTTAGTTATCTGTAAGTGAATTGAACAGTTATGCGAATCAGTTCGGTTCGGTTCAAATTTTGAAAAACTCGAATCGTGTCCATCTCTGATGCGCTCTCCCGAAAACAGAAAACTGAATTGACCTTAAAAGTATCATTTCTAATGTTTGAAACTCCCCCACACAGGTGGGCCGTTACGTGGACAGGTCGAAAAGCAACTTGCGCACGAACCAACTTAGGATATATCATACCTTGGTATGCCCTACCTACCCATCACACTCCTAACCATAAAGCTTTTTGACAATTCGGGTGGTTCCCTCGTTAGTTCATAAAGTAAGAATGGGATCATTCTAAATAGACTCTAATCTTGCTCGTAATATCTAGACTAGATGAAACAAGAAATATACAAAGGAGAAAAAAATTGCGATTACTGATGTTTTACTGTTCTTAGAAAATCTCATGATTGAATGCTTCATTCTTATTGTCTCATCTCATATCATAAAAATTGGATATCTTAGGAAGAAAGCCCTAAGGGCCCAAATCCTTTGGAGGCTTTTCATACATCATTGAGGTCTACTTATAGCCAAAAGATGGGTTTTAAACTCGTCAATCATTTCGGAAAGTTCCCTCGTTAGCCAAACGTTGAGTTGTTGACAGCTGGATGGATCCAGGCTCACGGATCATCTTATACCATCTTCATTTTTCATTTTGTATCGAAAGTACAATATAGATTCTTGTGGAGGATAAATACACGACTTTTTAAATTAGCTCATCAGAATTACAAATGCATATCTTTTTATGTCGCTGCTGTTGGTGATTGTGAGGTATCGATCAAGTCTAATAAAAAATGATAGAATTGTGAAATTAATAGGGTTTTATTTGAAGTTTAGAAAAACGATGAAAGTATATGTTTAAGAATTGCTTTTAATTAAATCTGCTGCTCTTTCGGCTACTGCAATAGTTGGAATATTCGCATTACCGGAGACAAGCGTTGGCATAATACTTGCATCTACAACACGCAGACTTTTTACACCTTTAACGCGCGTATCAGGAGTTACAACCGCCATTGGATCTTCTTGTTTGCCCATTTTACACGTACCAATAGGATGGTAAGCTGTAAGACTATATTTTCGAATATACGATTCCAAAAATTGATCTTGATTTTCACTTGTCGTATTTTCATTTCTGTCATCCATCATCAGCTCAAGTACACTATTTAACGGTTTAGTTTTACAAATTTGATCAGTTATTTTACATGCTTCAATTAATTTACGAACATCTTCTTTGTCTTCTAAATAATTCGGATCAATAATTGGATGTACGAAAGGATCATCGCTCGCAAGAGTTATTTCTCCTCTTGATTTTGGATGAAGAAGTACAGGAAGAGCAATCACAGTACATTGTTGATCTTCACAAAACTTTGGCTTCAAATATTTCTCATACACTTCTGGTTTAAAGTTCCAAAGTCGGCACAAATTAGCATCAGCTGTCACTGAACAAAAAAGTAGTTGAATGTCGGGATATTGTGTTTTGTCTAGAAAAATATCGAGATGCAAATAGAAAACCAAGAATTTTGTCTAGATCGCACTCACCATTTCCATCCACTTGGAACCAAGCTTGTGATCCACCAACACCTGATGCTAAAGGTCCTTTTCCTTCATGTTTCCAAAGTTCTAGGTTCTCTACTGTTGCATCACGATTTGAAAGTGTTGGTAGTCGACTTAGATAAAACAGAGGAGTCATCAAATGATCTTGTAAATTTTTGCCAACTCCAGGCAGATTAACGATCAAAGGTATTTTATGCTTTTCTAATTCGTTTTGTGGACCAATTCCCGATAGAAGAAGTATTTGAACACTTCCTATTGTGCCTGCTGATAATATTACTTCTTTGCCTTTGATCAATTCCTCTTTCTCAGATGAATTATCACGTTTAACAATAACTCCTAAATACATAAAAGCATTTTGTATACAGAGTACAATATCTCTGAGTTGTGTCTTTCTCGAAATAAGAACATAAAATGTGTGAATGTATACGAGCAATTTAAAAGGCATGCTCGTATCTTAGTCATATATAAAGACTTGAAATTTGAACTGAATGGATATGAAAACGTAGAAGAAATCAATGTCGAAGAAAAAACGTCGAGAAAAAAAATACCAATCTGAATTTGGTCGAAAGAAAAGAAAACCGATCGTGTAGAACATCGAATGCTTCGTCACTGTATAAAAGAAAGACTTCTTCTAACTTCGTCCTTTTCATCCGATCATTTTTGCGGTCCGTTGATAGGTTTCCTAGATAGATGATTTAAAGAGAGGAATGATATCGAATATCGATTTGATAGAGAATAGAGAAGAACAAAGGGGATAGTGATGATATTGTTCGACGATCGTTTATATATCGCTGCTTGTAAATCTTCCACTTCATAATCTTCGTGTTCATACTGATCAAAATGATGTTTTTCTTCAGGCAAATGGTGAACATAATCACTTAATCGAGCCTGAAATGCTCAAAGTTCAACGATTCCGACGAATTCTCAAAGATCGTGTCGTCAACGAAACAGCTCCTATTTCAAAGATTTTCGATGAAGAAACGACTAAAGCACAATTAACACCTGCGCTTCCGGAGTCGATCTCATTTGACATCCCTGAGTCATAGGCAAAGAATGGTGATCTTTGCTAGCCCAAAACAGCTCGAATTGTTATTCAACAGTGTCACTCGCTTGATGGATGGGACGTTTTTGGCCACTCCACCTTTCTTTAATCAAGCGTTCACGATCCACGGGCACAAGTACGAAAGCATGCAATATCCAGATTGAATTTTTCTAGATTTGCCGTGTTGCTTTTGCCTCTTAATCGATCGAAAAAAGCGACATATCAAGATTTTTTTCAAGAGTTGAAAGATGTGGCTGCACAGATGAATCTGGCTTGGAAACCTGAACGAATCACTACAGATTTCGAAGGTGGTCTTATTTCTGCAATCTCTGTCGAAGTAAATCAAACCAATCACCTTAACTAACAGCGCACGCTTTCTCATAGTTTCCTGAAACATCCGCCAAGGGTGTTTCTTTCATTACAATCAGGCGATTTACCGGCGCATTCAAACCTTGGGTTTATCTACATCTTACGCTGAAGTCGAAACTTCTTTCTATCACTTACGCGCTACACAGAATACAAAGGTGAAACAAGAATTGCAGCAGTTATTTGTATATTTCGATGAATACTGGATGAATAAGATTCCCGTAAAATTGTGGAACGTTTACGGTTCCGGCCATCGAACGAATAACACATGTGAAGGTACGTATGCACTTTATTTCTAGACATAGATTCTGCATGTACTCGTTTGGGTTTCCACAACAGATTGAACCGCTGTCTTGAACGAGCTCACGCCAACATCTGGTCGTTCCTTCGTTGCATCATTAGTGAAGAAACTCGCTTCCAGCACGTGTTTGTTCGCTTACAAACAGACAGTCAACGACGACCAAAAGCAACTTCTTCTGATCTTATTCAAAAACGAGTGAATACTCTCAACGAACGCTACAACAATCAAGAGATAGATGCACAGGAGTTATTGGGCGGACTCTCCTTTTTGATTGCAAAGAAAAAATAAATTCGATGTTCAAACAGTTTTCTCGCAACATTTGAAATTATTTGTATTCTAGTGGATTTTAATAATTGTCGTATTTCATCGTCTTCTCAATGACTTCAAATATTAATAAACAGAAAAATGAAAGTTTAAGCCGTTATTAATCTGAATATTGACTGTAGCAGAGAAGACTGTTTAAATCGATCGAAACTTGTGCTACATTATTTGTGTTGCTTACCAAATATATGTATGAAATGGTGATACAAGTGTGGAACAAGTACTTGTATTACTCTTTATTATCAACCTCATCATCTGATTATCATAAATGAGAAATATAGACTGTGGAAACATCAAATAAGTCAAATCCTCGATACGACGACTAACTTGGAATTAGCTAGTACATCCATCGTTGTCGGGGATTTAGGGCGAAGTATTAAAAATAGCTTTAATTATACTGACCAGTAGCTTGTTTGTGTGCATCAAATACCACTCGGCAGGTGAGTGCTTGTATTAATATATCAAGATTTTCTCGTTTAACCGCCGTCAAGAGATAACCACTTGCTGTTGACCAACGCTTGCCATTCTTTATCGACATTTGTGACATTGATACACATCCATTTAGACTTTTTCCTGCATTATAATCTTCCATCTCACGATATCCATTCTTTTCACATACTTCAATAAACATTGAATCGATAGGATTGTCTTTTTGCACCATGATCACATCAATTATTCCACTGTCTTGATCATGATTGCGAAATTTCTCATTCTTCGGAATAGTATTCAGATCAGCACGTTCTAGTTTCTTAAAGTATGGCAACATTTCTGTAAATGACCACTGCGGCAACTCCCAATTATCATAGTCGAGCGCATCACCACGAACATATTGCATATAGTTTATTGAAGAACAACCACCGAGAACTTTGCCACGTGGCCAGTTACTTTGTTGATTGACACAACCAAAGTGTGAATGACGTTGAGGCGTAGTCTTATATTGCCAATCAATTTCACCACCTTGACATTTAATGCTAAAACATATAAAAAAAAAACTACTCATGTTACTCTGTACATGAGAAAATTTCTTCTTTCAAACAAACAGGCTCAATAAGGTATTATTTGAATGATTTTAGTCTGATCAAACTTTCACTCACCTAGCACCGGGCATATGTATTTCTTCGTGCGTATCTGCACCGCCAGCTTCGATCAGAAGAATCCGTTTATCTTTTTGCTCGGACAATCGATTGGCTAAGACAGCACCTGCTGAGCCTGATCCAACAATAATATAATCATATAAAATTCCATCCGTCTTGGTTTGTGAAAAGTCACACTCCCATCGTTCTACAACAGTCGCTAATTCACTAACAACTGGTGCAGCAGTCTGGTCACTAATGCTTGTTTCCAACATCTATCTTCGATCTACATACATAAAGAAGACACTTTATTTATCTGTCTGTTTAGTATGCATTCAGCCATCGTGATAGCTATCTCTGCGAAACATTTCATGCAAAATCTCTGGGTTAAGTGGAGCTTTTGGAGGGAGTCAAGGCCGCTAACCGAGGGTGAGAAATGAGGATAGACCCATAGAAATGAACTGACTAATACACGATTGGAAAAACGGTATCGACTAGAACATACGCAAAAGTGTACATTAAATTATGTGGTGATGAAGTGAGCTTGCGACGGTTAGATCATTCTTTTTCTGCTTCAATATTAGACACTATTACTTTGAATTAAATTCATAAACGAACTATTCATTCAGACTCTCCAAAACCGTATTTAACGTGCCAAAAAATAGATGTAAATCGTGTTTTAATAATACATTGTATGTGCGGCATTTCAGCTGGAAGAAATGCGCCACAATGAGTATCTCATATCGTAAGATAAGATATATTCTATTGTTTCATTGCAATATGCAATAGAGCTGAGAGAGAAAAGAAATCGTTGAAATGAAGCGTTCTTTTTTTCTGTCCCTTACAAAAAATACACGATTTACTGTCGAAACACCGAAAAACAAAAGGTCGAAGAGAAAAATGTCGCAAAATTAAATGTCGAAGGATAAATTATCGAAAAACAGAATGTCGACAAGCAAATATCGAACACAAATAATATCGATTTCTTTTTCGTCTGTAATCTCTGTCCAAGGTTTATGTACTGTATAACACTTATTTCGAATTCGTCGTTCTAATAGCGAATATTCTAGAATAATAAAAATACAAAGGATATATGAAAACAAAGAGTACAAATAATAAATTGTCTTATGATCGCCTATATATACGTTCGATGATTTTATACGTACAATTTTTCCATCTTACCTATTTGACGTTCACTGTTACTTCTAACAAAGATACTCGTATGTTGGTGAAAGAAGGTTTCATTTATAAAAGCAACAAACAGACATTAATGAAGATTTACTGGATCTGCAAAATCAAAAGCTGTAATGCAAATATTCATACTGATCTCAACCGTAATTTCATGCAATAAAATGGTAAACATAGTTATCTCGTTGAACCAGAAGAAATCGAAGTAAAACTTTTTCGAGAAGCTCTTAATGTATGTGTTATCAATGAAACAACACCGATTTCGAAGATATATGGTGAAGAGATGATTAAACCTCATTTATCACTAGAAACTCTTGCAAATGTACCACTGGTTTCCAGTATAAGTAGTATTTCATTGTGAGAATTTTACGTACTTTTTAGTATGATGTTTTTAAAATAGATTCTGCATTGAATCGAACACGACAAAAACGTACACCAGTTCTTCCAATATGTTGTTCATTTGATATTCCTGATTTATATCAATTCACGTCTGCTGGAGAAAAGTTTTTATTTTGCGATGCCTTGGTTCATTGCAAAAAAGAATGATATTATTTGGTAGTTCAAAACAACTCGACGTATTATTTGATAGCTCGATTATTTTCATAGATGGTACGTTTTTAGCAACGCCGTCAATGTTTGATCAAGTTTTACTATATATGGACTAAGATTTGGGTACAGTATGATAGATGTTTTTAGTATTTTAGAAAAAAATTATTTTAACCTGAAAGAGTTGTTAGTGATTTTGAACTCGGTTTGATATTAGCTGTAGCCGCTGAAGTGAGTCATGATATTCACATTGTGCCAAGCTATATTTGCTTTCTATTTTAATTTCCTCAAGCTATCCATCAAGGTCGTTATTTTTATTACAATCAGCGTATTAATCGACGTATTAAAAGTTTAGGCTTAAGCACAACTTATGCTGAAGGCGATGAAATCAGATCATGCTGTCGTAAATTAATGGCACTTTGTCTTGTACCACTTCAAGAAATTGAAGATCAATTTTATAATTTACGAGCATCATTAGATTCACGACTAAAGCAGGAACTGCGTCAATTATTTTTACATTTTCAAAATCATTGGATGATTGATATACCCCTCCAAATGTGGAATTTTCATGATACTCCACATCGTACGAACAATATTTGTGAAGGTATGTCATTCCATTCTTTTTGAGCATTCGAACGTGTTCTGTTTGCTTAGCTTTTCACAGCCGATTGAATAGACGTATTGAACGTTCCTACACTGAAAAAAATGAAGGTGTTCGACCAAACCCCTCAAAAAGGTTTCGTAGATGCTCAAAACTTCCAAATGTGTCGACATGTTGAAAAAAGTGCTTTTCCAAAATCTACCGAACCAAAAAGGGATCGGTCGGTGGGCACACGCACCGAACCATCGTCACAGAACCTTTTTAAGTTTCGCACGGCCCCCAAAAGGTTTCGTCGCAAAATACGAAACCGTCGTAGATTCGTACAAAGCCATAGTGCGAAACCTTGAGGTTCCGTATTATCTGACGAACTTTTATTGGAACGTNCGTGGTCCACTTCATCTACAGAATAAATGTCTATGATATTTTCATATAAAAAAAGCAGCTCATTCATACTGAGTCGGTCTTTAATCGAAATTATCAAAACTCTTCGTAACTGCGTGATTTAGAGTACATATCTTATTGTTCTCTTCAGTTAAGTAAGCTGATAATTCACAGGACTTGTTCTTGGAGCTCAGAGAGACATCAATAATGTTCCTTCAAAAAATCATTGACACTATTCGGAACTCTTATAAGTCTCATTTTTCGAGTAACTTTCAAAAGAAACGCCTAGTCCTTCGTCGACCTTCCGAAGTGGTGATACTCCATTTATTGGATTACTAAAATAAACCAGATAAATTTTTTTATTTTATGATTACTTATGAAAAGAGCATTCGTTATAGCGCTTCATATATTTAGAATAGTATTTGTATAATCGATGTCTCTGCGGGTAATAAGATGGAATTCTACTAATAGACATACCCTTTTGCGATGTATATTCGCTCAACTCGTATCGAAAGGCCTGATGTACCCCAGCAAACAACACGATCATGATATTAAGCTCTTACTACTCCTTCTGGTTTCTTGATTTACAACTATCACAACGTACAAAATACTAATTTCTTTGTGTAAGCTTCATAAACTACTGTCTTTGCACATATTACATTCAGGAACAGCGTTCAACCCACCACCTTCTACAAAAGATTTTCTAAAAGAAGCAGGACAACATCTCTTTTGGAAAAATAAAGAAAAAATAACCTTAGGTTTGAGTTCTTCAAAATCAATTAACCTTCGCCCAACTCTTAGTATACATATTAATAATCCATGTATAATTAACAGTTAATTAATATAAACTAAACTCGGTTTCGGATTCGTCGACCTCCATTACCCTACCGGCAGTGGATCCTGATGACTATGGATATATCTGATTGGATAGGAGAGACAGACAAACTTTGAGCTGTCTGATCCTTTCTTTCAGGAAAGGGAATAAACAGAAAGACATATTAGGCAGCGACAGCAATATATCGTTTAAGTTCTTCTTATACTTTTGTTTATACCCATGTAAACACGAAGCGGAAGGTAAGTGCGTCTAAACGCAGCTAAAACTGATATCCAACACGGCTGGATACATTTTTGTGAACAATAGTAGCGCCCGGTTGCGCTGAAAAAGATTATTGATAAGCGTTCAAATGCACCTGGAAAATTTGAAATGTGTTCTATAGTGCAAGTTATGCATAAAGTGCGTTTGTTTTAGTAGTCTATACTGATTTGCTTCCAGAAACTGTCGATAGATTGTTCTTTTGAACATGTAGGGACAGTTTTATTTGAGTAAAGACGCTCAATTGTAAGATACTCTTTCCGTATAAGTACAATCAGATGGCAACCATTCGTTACACGTGCTTAAAAATATTCTTAATGAACAGTTCATACTTGATCTTGAAATAAAACTTCTTAAACCAGTTGAGAAATATTGCTTATATGACTTATTCGAACTTCACTTGACGTCTACTGCTGTAAAGTATATTTCAAAGATGAATAGAGAAAGAAAAAGAAATACAACTTCATTTGAAGTCGTATGAGACTAGTGGAGAGAAGTACGACGATGAGTTTTATTTTCTTCGAAGCTATACAAAATGGATATTGTTAGTTTCACGTGTATAAGTTCAGATGTACAGGTAAATATATATCCTTTTCAATAAGGATGAGATTTGTGCTCAAACTACTTATGAGCAGAACGATATTGAATAGAACCGTTTTCTATTAACTATACTTTTTTGTGGTGCGTGTAAGGGTTCGAGAGACAACTATATATGCCAGAAGGAAGGATGATGCAATATTTTTTTATCATTGATGATCCTTGATGAGAACGATCTCAAGTCAATTTTCGCGCGTAATAGTTCAACATCTTTATAAATAGTGTAGAGTAGAATCGTTTTATTTTTTCGTATGGTTTATGAGTAAACAAATGAAACTTTAAAAGGTTCTGAATCTATGCTAAAACCTAAAATAGTTCCGCATAACACGGTTTTGTTTCCCAGACTACCGCATAAAGAAAAATATTAGTTACTTGATGCAGAGCGCTCCATCTTACGTCATCATTAGCGAAATCGTTGGAATACTTGTGTCGCATATAGTTCTTGTCATTTCAGACTACACAACCCCGAAAGTGATCAATAATAATATTTTTACACTTGTTCCCAAACGAAATAAGATGCATAATGATTTTCTACAGTCGATTCCATCTGGTCTCAAAATTAAGACTTGTCGTCGGCCTATTTCTATGCAGTATTCTTATAAATTTCTATCAGTTTATATATCATTCACCTAGCTGTTCTAATTTATGCCCATATAAATCAATTCTGAGCCAGAATCAGCTAGCATTTGACAAGTTCCATACTGTACCACACTATGCTGATTTTATCTGCCCGCAAAACTTTCGAAATCTGGCTGATTGGGTTTATGGTTGGCCTGAAGGTGTATTCGAAGAAGAGCTAGACATTACTACTGACAAAGGATATCGTATTGGTTCGTGTTTGGTATCAGGTAGTATAATTTATGTCAAATCTGATTATTTGGAGAAATTCTTCAGCAAAGTCTATCCGTATTTGAACAGTCGATTTGTACTTATCACAGGACAAAGTGATGTATCACCGCCTGATCGATATCTAGCCTATCTAGACACGTATGATTCAAAAATTGTCCATTGGTTTGGCCAGAATGCCGAAACGTATGCGTCAGAAAATGGCAAATTTACACCAATTCCTATCGGTAATATAAATGTACTGCAGAGAAGAATCCGTCTTACTTTTAGAATAAAATATATGAAGATACACGAGCAGAAAGATGAAGCATTCTTGTAAAGCAGATTTGAATGAGATCATAATAGACCATGTTTAGCAATCTACGTATTCCTAGAAAAGTTATGTAATAAGGGTGAATGAGAAAGTGTGGTTTCGCATACTGGAAGAGTCATAGCATATAACTGGTTGTATTAAGTCGTATAATTGATGAATAAAGAATGTCAGTAGCGTTTTGTTTTAGTTCAGAATAAGTAATCAATAAATCTATTTGTAACTACATAGTAATCTATAATGTTTGTTGTATTGTAGGAATCAACTGTTATGAGATGGGCAGAGCTCTTCAACGTGTTCGTGAACAGAAATCCACTTCTGCTTTGTTATTCTTGTCGAATAGCACAGATCCGAAAGAATACTATTCGTCTTCTCTTTTTTTATCACAACAAAGTTCAACTCGACATATCACAACTCAACTGTTGCTGGTAAATTTTCAACGGCAGACCGATCCAACTGGAACTCGTACACGTGTTTGGAAAACTTTTTGCGACCGCAATACTACATCTAATTTTGTTAAATGTATCGATAAACTACAAGGAGTTGATAGCTCTGCATTACCGACTATATATGCTCGGAATCGACAGTATCCGTTCTGGCTTTCTCCTCGCGGTAACGGAATAGACTGTCATCGCACTTGGGAAGCACTTTATTTAGATGTTATTCCAATCGTCTGGAATTCCACATTGAATTCTTTGTATACTGATTTACCTATCATAGTTGTCAACGACGATAGTGAGATTACCGAACATTTCCTCCTTACCAAGTTAACAGAAATACTCGTTAAAAAAAGAAGCAAGCGACCTGTTTATCGATACGAAAAGCTGGCATTTGGCTATTGGCGACGTCTCATCTTAAGTAAATCCAGACATTCAACGACAACAATAAAACGAGAAAATCAATGTTGGCGCGCTAAAAGTACTAGCAAAAAACGCGACTAAAAGCTCATTTATTAATTACAGTTCGATATTGGGCAAATTGCTTCTTATAGTATGTGTTCGATTTGCGAAACCTTCAGAAAAATACGTTTTTTCATATGAAATCATCTTATAAAAAATGATTATCAACTATTGGTGTTTCTGACATCAGGTGTATAGATCTCAGATAATTCTAAATACCGAGAAAGGATTGCTGCCGAATTCATTGATCTTGCATGAGTGATCACTTATTCCGATGACTACCAACATCTACCCTCGAGGTCACTTTCAAACGATGTTTCGTTAAGTTCTAGACATTTTCCAAAAAAAAAACTTTGCGTTTGGACACTGACGCAGACAAATAAATAACCATACAAGCTGTTTTTTATATGATCCCCTTTCAATCGAGGAAATCAAATAGATTGACTATAGAAGTTTCTCTCTATTGCAATCTATTCATACCTGATACCTGATGTCGTCATATTTCCTTAACTGTTCAATCTAAACAAAATGATACATGACCCTCCACACATTGTAAGTCATTGAATTTTTTACCCATGTGCGTAACTCTCAAATGTCGTCATTCAATTCCTTCGGCTGTAAGGAGGGTCCTATGGAAAAAGATAGTTTGTCTCCTTGCTTGTTTGTATCTGGGTCAAAGGTCAACGGTAAAAAAAAACAGTTTTTTCCTAAAATCATCCAACACATTGCAAACTTCTAGTGTGGTGAGGCTAGAGCGAGTGGACAGCTGAAACCATGGGTGGATGTCTGAGTGTGGGTGAATGGAATCGGTGATGGGTGGCTCTACCGCCTGAGTTGATGTGGGGCTCGGACGCAGTTGAAGTGGCTCGGTTGTTCCAACTTGGATTTAATTGTAACTGATCTTAGGAGTAATAAAAAAACGACAAATAATCGTATGTATTACCGTAGCTCAATGCAGTGAAAGCGAAAAATAGAGATATCAAAAGATACATTAGCTAAATTCAGATTTTATCAAATGCAATCCTAATCTATTGAGTTAAAGCTATTAAAATCTATGGAAAATTTGCAAAGACAAATAAATAACGATTCTGCCAATAATTGGTGATTACTATTGGTGATCGTAGAAAATTTAAATTAATGTTAAAAACAAGTAACGCTCGTCTTGTCGATTCACTTAATCCTTGACTGTGCAGGACAGATGTTTTTTTCGTGCCCTAACCGTGAAACAAATTGGTCCAACAATTTTATATACGAAGAAACAATTCAGATGTTTTTTTTACAAAAAATTCAGTATTTTGTTTTCGAAAGTTACTAAATATATCTGCGCAAATACTTTTGAATTGTTTCTTCGTGTATGAAATTGTTAGATTAATTTGTATCACGACTGGGACATGAAAAAATATCTGTCCTCCAAAGTCGAAGGTTACTTGTTTGATTATTTCAAAAAAATCTTTTGTAGGCACTACAAATTCTGTTGTACGTTTGGATAGAGCAAGAAATTACATTTTGCACAAATATTCGTATGTATTTCTTATCGATTCAAGATTTTTATGAGGTACTCAGGTATTTTCTTTTTATTTGATTTAAAACATATTTATATGAATATGTGAACATATTATGAATGATGAATAAAGATAGTTTTTAAAAATGGATAAAGAGATGCCTATCTCGAGGATGCGAATGTTAGTAAGTGAAAGACATTCTTCGCATACACTCTTGTTTGTCATTAGTTAATTTTTGTAATAAAAAATTGGATATTGTCAGCGATACAATAGTTTTCTTCGTTATTTGTATTAGTATCGTCATAGGTCAAATTTCTGATGAATCCAACTTTTAACTGAACTTTGTGCATCTCACGATTAAATTGATTTGATAGTTTCAAACGTTTGATTTGCATTTTACTCTTGGTTTCTAAATTGCAGAACAGACAAGTGCTAGAGGACTGAAAAAGAAATCAAGTTTCGTGTTATGACTTTACCTCGATATACAGGTTCATATTTTAAACCATTCATATCGAAGAAAGTGAGCTGCATATAGCCGTATTGGTTGCCTGAGCATTGGTAATCGATGGATGCATTGTAGCGAGCCATACCAGCTGAGATCAATAGANTTAAAAAAATATCTAGTAATCTCGAATCATTTCTGACTCTTCGATATTTTTATCTTCGCTATTGTTGCGCGTCGATATTAATTACTTCGACATTTTATTGTCGATCTTTTTCTATCGACATCCGTTTTTCGATGTTTCATCTTCGACCTTTTCCCCATCGACATCATTTCTTTCTTATCAATGAATACCAAAAAAAGTATTTTCGTGTGGCGTACTTGTTGGTAAAAGTAAAAAAGATCGAAACAAATAGTCAACAAGTATGTCACCTCAAAAAAAGAGAGTGCGAACTTAGAGTACGAGTGCGACCGTTTTGAAACATTAATGACAAGTTTTCTTTTTCTTTCTGATCGAGAACAAAGATAAAGAAAAAGAAAAGTTCGCACTTACAGGACGTACTGGATGTTTGTCAATAAATTTATGCTACCAACGTTTTTTTTCACTTCAGAATATGCTAAAAAAAGAAATCTTACAAATCATCGATCTATATAAACATACTCGATCTTTTTATTCTATCATTACCTTTTTACTTCTTTGGTGTTAAGACAAATAGCAAAGAAAATGTTGCTTTTATCCACGATTCTATCTCTCACATGCATTAGTCTCATGATCTATTATATCATTCGTTTACGGAGACTTTATCAATACTTTAGTCAACGCCATATTCCTACTCCTCCTTTTCGGTTCTTCTTCGGTCATCTCAAGATCCTATGGAGTAGTGCATCCTTTCATCGTCAACTTGAAATGTGGTCAAAACAATATGGAAAGATATATGGAATCTACCAGGGAATCGAACATACCTTTGACGTCAGCGATCCTGATTTTCTTCAAGAAGTCTTTGTGAAGCAATTCACAAATTTTCCTGGACGAAGACAAGTTCTAACAGGTCCTGGTATTCATAATCTATTTTCATCTTCAGGTGCACCATGGCGGCGACATCGTCATATACTAAATCCATCGTTCTCTGCAGCGAAATTGAAATGTATGGCTCCTCTTATTCACGGATGTATCGATAATTTCATGGAAAAATTAGGTGACCATGTAAAAAACGGCAACGAGTTCAATATCTACTTGTATTATAAACGATTGACAATGGACGTTATATGTAAGTAACAGCAACAAAAATATTAATTAAGAAAAGACCATCTCATGTGACATCTTGATTGTGGTTTTCTCTAATAACGTCTAGGCCGATGTGCATTTGGAATTGACACCG